TCCTGGCCTTACTACTAGGAGCCAGGACGCTACTAGGGGCTCCTGGCAAGTAGCAAAGACTTCCAGCGTCCATGTTGCCTGCCGCACTCCCACCGCGGCCTGAGGCTGGTCTTGGGCGTGGACCTTTGGCGATGAACGGAGTCTCGGGGTTTGTCTCAAAGAGCCGCCTCCACCTGCAAGAGCTTCTATTCAGTTCTATTCTATTCAATGCAGAGAATGATGAGAATGCGACAATTATGAAACATCCCTGCAGCAGTTCCTTGTGATTTGCTTTCCCGGACATCATCAGCAAAGTTACTATAGCATCATTGGAAGCTCCCTGAAAAATATCATGGGTAAATACTAATTGGCCAAAGAGAAAACGCAACACGCAATTGGATGGCAACCCCGCGTCTTTATAACGCCAATTGGGTACTGCCAGTTTGTGCTTGTGCATCTGATCGCATAGGACTTCTTGGGGCCTTTGACCTTCCGCAGCGGGACCACCATACCTGGAGATCTGGTGATTGCTGCGCTCTATGGTTTGTTGACACTTTGCGCTTTTTACATATTTGAACCCACTTGCGCCTTTTTTGTTTTCTTTTTTGAAGTGGCAGCCTTTGATCGCTTGGAGTTGTTGTGTGTGTGATTGGGAACTGGGGATGGTGACCTGGCTAGTTATATAGATATATTCACTGTATATAAGTGCCATTGTGCGTGTCACTATGATTGGAAGTTTGGCAGAAATCCCACTTGAACACCGGCTTGCCCAAGCTTGTCTCATAGCATTGTCCCTTCACGTCAATTTCAACATGTCTCGGACGCGTCCGCATTTGAGGGGTGGGCTGATGTTGGCCTTGTCGGCAGAGTTCACCACACATCTCCGCCATCGAGATGTGATGTTGGCGTCTAGCGGGATCTTCCTCTTCAGCCGAGCGGCCCAACAGAGCTTGTTGCTTTGGACCCCCAAAGTCGCATGCATCATGTCGTATCTCAGTATCTCGTGGTTGGTGCTTTTGGGGGCATGTCTAATGAACTTACGGCAATCAAGAACGTGGGCAGACGGCAGACGGCTTTGTATAAGTGGATTTGTTGAGGGAGGTTTGTGCAGACCTCTTTGATCCCCTTCCATTTCGGCACTGGGGAGTGAGTAATTTGCTCCAGACGCCCTCCCCCGGATCACGAGTATGAGTAGTGAGCAGTCTCGACCAAACCTCCAAATACTGCACAGATGCGCCCCACCATCGGCAAGGTCTTCTGCTGGCCTTCATGCTTTTCCCCTACAGCTATGACCGCCCCAAGCGAGTCTTCCAACAGCACGTGGCGCGGTCAGAGGCCTCCTGGAACCTGCAGACTGGGGAGGTTCGATGGCAAGAGATGGAGCATGGCCTGTGGACCATTGCCATGGACACCTAACACATCATTGATGGGACAGTGAGGGAGAGCGAGCAAAAGCAGGAAATTGAGACACGCAAATGTTGGAGACATTGAAGTGGAGCAAACACAGCTCTCCAAAAGCGTTGGCTGTAATTAGCAAATGCCATCACATGTTTTATCGGGGTACGGTCTACCGATGTCTACCGTAAGGTACCTCAAGAGTCAAATAGTGTCAGAAGATGCCAAACGAAAAGCCCTTTACATCCCTCATCCTCAAGCTCCAGGGTGACTGTGGTCCTCGCTTGCGATGTTTGTGATGATTTAAGGATTGGAACAACGTCGGCACTCTGAAGACGTTTGCACCATATGGGCTTCCTGCAGAGTCTAGACCACACAATGACTCTGCGGGTATCTATGGGCAGGTGCCTAGACTTTGGTAATAGCGTGTGGCTGGTGGCATTTTGCGCAAAGACATGTCTGAAGGAGCATTTGTGACCATCCGACCATCCCAAGTCAGAGGTAACCGGAACGTGGCACTGGAAATGCCAATGCTGAACCCAGGAGATCATGCAGAGGCCTGTTGAATCCTGTTGGTGCTGGCATGTTGCCTTTTGGCTTTCACGATGGAACCTTCAAAACATCCTCAGAGTGCATCCGTGGGTTGTCGTGGATCAGGTGCCGATGCCTTTTCCCATGAAAGCCTTCCTGATGGGTGGAAGTTGGTCCCCTCGACGAGCACCAGACCTACCCAGTGCCTTGGAGAGTTCTGGCCGGGACCAGGAGCTCAAGGTTGGTCTCGCTACAAAGGGATCCCTTCAACCAGTGGGAGCGTAGTCACCCTCAGGTTTGTGGAGTTCAAGAGGCAACATGACAAAACTCAAAACTCACAAATATATACATAGATATATATATATACATATATATATATAGATAGAGAGAGAGTATATCAACCTTAGCGTGCCAGATCGAGTGTGCAGAACAAGCTGCCCACTTTGGCCATCAGTCTCAGGTTTGCTGATCTTGGATTAACATTAAAATGCTTTGAGGCCTTTGATGCAACTCCTTGGCTCTTGTGCAAGTGGCCTAAGCCCCCCAACGTGACCAAGGCCGCCTTTCTTTGGACCTCCGCGCTGGAGAAGTGCAACGCTCCCATTATCGGAGCTTGCATGTTTCAGTGCGGGGAGGGCCTCAGATGATGATGGTGCTGGCGCCAGCCTCCAGGGTGCAACAGTGGTCCTTCGGGCGCTATTAGACATGGTGCATGGGGTGAAGGACATGTAGTCCTTCTTCTCAGGGTGAAGGACCGATTCCTAGTTTGGTAGCGGTTTTTGGTCACGGTCTATCATACAACTAGAATGTATCACCAGACACAATGGGGTTTGGGGGCTTGACGGCTTGACTCGTTGAGATACTGTACTGTTTATGTTTTGCTCGCTACGCTGTGTCCATGTTGTGCCGAGATGCAAGGAAAGAAGTGCTGATCATAGAGATGCAAAGCACAGCACTGATCCAGCGAATCTTCCACTGGGGCCACTCACCACGGGAGGGACGGCGGTCGATGAGGGGGGCAACATCCACGATTTGCTGGGCCTCCCTTCTTGTCGATTGTGTGGACCGAAACGGGCTGTTCCACGTGATGCTATTAGAAATTAGAACCATCGACCGGTTTGTGAAGCAGATTAGTCGAACAGCAGGATAAGTAGCCACTCTTTTTGAGTATATACTAAGTACTGTTATAACTTCGATCCCTTTTAAATTCGTTAGTCTTCTACCATGCACTGGTTGATGTTCACCATGAGTTAGGAACCGTGTTGGCCTGTTTAATCATTTAATCCTCGTCAAACATACAATTTGTTTTGTGGCCAATTATCGAAGTGAATTATTGTCAATAATGTGGAAATTGAGGTGATATGAGATTGTATGTGGCAGCCTTCAGACATGAATCTAGAAACTTTGCCAGGGACTGTGAGGGAAGATTGAATTTTGGTGGCAAAGTTTGCTGACATTGGGGACTGGCAGCTGGGGTTTCCATTTTTGTCACAACGCCAATTTCTTTCATGCCTTTCACAGGGTAGCTACTACGCACGAGCACCTGAGCCATCAGGCTCCCACGGAAGCGGAGCGACTGTGACTGTTTCTTTCTGCCACTCGCTCTTGGTTCATCCTTTTTTTCCTCGTTGGGAGAGCCTGCAGCAGACCTTTGGACTGGACTGGAGAGTAACCTTAGCCAGACTTTTCCCAATGAGTTTGCTATCAAACGCACATGCAGAATAGCCAGAGTTTGTCCGATTGCTTCTAAAACAAATAGGAAGATGTTTTTTTTTGCGGGGTTTTGCTTTACAATGGATGTCAGGTGTATCCGCCCACAAGGGCCGGAGCGCCGCTCAAACATTTGAGGCTCTATGCTGAAGGCGGAATTGAGCCCAGCGAAGGTAGCAGCGAAGCCTTTAACTTCACCGTGCTGGTGGAAGCGGGGACTGAGCGGCTTGGCGTCACAGTAGGGTTGTGTAGGCCTGCTTGCTACAAACTCTCAACAATTTAGCGTCAACGAAAATGATTGTGTAATATTTTGTATATACCATTGCACCTTAACGAAGTTGACAACTTGTCCTCTCCTTCTTCCAGGATGCATTTGGACCTTTGGGCTTTGCACTTGGAGAGCTCCAGCGACCACCTGCGCCACGAAGAGCGACGTGTGCCCAGCTGGGTGAGCCACTTCGGATGGGTCTCGGAGCTCCAGGCTGGGACCGAAATGGAACTGGTTGAACGTTAGGAACGAGTTTCTTGCACCAGATGAAACCCAACATGAACCAAAGGGTGGTCGTTCTTTTTTGGGGGGGCCATCAGATGGAGTCAGCACGATGGAAGCAAAGAGGTCGAGTTGTGATGTGATCGTAGCAGACACCCTGCGACCATTCTTGCAGAGGAAGTCCTCGGGTTCAGAGTGGCGGTTTGCAGGTTTTGCACTGCATCAACGGTGACTTTGCCATGTTCATGTCATATGTGCAGCATATGAAACCTGAAATGGGACTCTTCAATGCCTCAGGTGCATCACATTTCCCTTTGATTGCGAAAACAGAGAAAGCAGTGGCGGCGGCCGCGACAATTATGGGGGCTGCGGAGATGGTGGATAAAATGATTGTTGAGTTGCAACTTGGAGCTGACCTTCACCCACCATTAATTAATGATGGTTATATACACTCCTATATATGCCTATATAAACCTGATGAGTTTCCCCCGCCTTGAATCCTTGAAAGCTTGTGACTTGGCGGTTGTGCAGATGCTTCAATGAAAAAGGCCAGAGGGGACAGGTGGCTGAATGCATCAAGACAAAAGCCAATGTTTGACCTTTTATGTCACATGACATCATGGCGGTCACCTGTGCCATGGAGCTCAAGGCGTCATCGTTTGAGAGAGGCCTTGTGACATGGTTGAGCATTCTCCAGCCAGCTAGCTTGGACTTGGATAGGTTGAAAGATCAGTTTGCTCTATTTGAAGCCTTTCCCAGCTGCCAGCTCATCGCGCCCATGGTGACCACCCATATGGGCAGCTTGGGAAGGCTCCGAACATCCCAATGTAGATGGAGTCTCTCTGATATGTTTACTGTAGTCAAGTGGAGAGTCACGCCCCAGCTCAACCACCTGCTTGGTGAAGCGTGCCATGTTTAGCTATGCCGTGTCCTTGCTGGGTGGTGAGCTGAATGGCTCCAGCTGACGCAATGTGACGAATAAATGCTCAAGGCTTGGACGAAGGAGGTAATGCCAAGAAGTCTGTGTTAATTCAATTTATGTTAATATGTTTAAATGGTCGTCCTCAACCAATGAAATCTAGGGATGAGGCTGTTTATGTAGAGCAGAGGGTGTGCAGACGGTTTGTGTTCATCCTCACTGAACTTGGTGACAGGTTTGGCCGTGGGCCATCGTCCAAGTGCATGTCTTGTTGCCTGGCCAGATTCCTTCCCCTGGCAGCCCTGGCGTTGACGGTCACATTCTTTCGGTGTTCAGCATGCAACCCACGCCAACGAGCTTCATCTCAACCTTGGGCCTGAGTGGTGATTGATGTGGGTGGAGCCACAATGAATCACAATTACTGAGTTCTCCCCCAAGCTAGGCCAGCTTGGCCTTGTAAGGATTTGATTTGCTGATTTGCGTATTTGTGCCAGGCATGGCGCAGCATGGTTTAAAGAACCAGGTGCAGCTACTACACATCCAGTTACGAAAGTCTCAAGGTTGCCGAGTGGCTGGATTCTGGTTCCTTTTTCTCAGACCGAATGACGAACAAACTTTAAACTTTGACTCTCAGATTCCCTCCATTCTGAGCAAAATACCTGTAAAAAGGAGCAAGCACTAGTCAAAGTTACGATGGCAGCTGTGCGGCCTTGGAATATTGAATCCACAATGCAGCGGGGGATTTGCAGAGCACCCTTTTAATTGGCCTAAGGTTGTCCCAAAAACTGCCTGAGCCACTGCCTTTATTCCAGAAACTGCCTGAGCCCCGCCTGAGCGACTATGAAGCCTGGCAGCTGAAGTCCCTGGCGCTGGTCGGGGCCTGTATTTTGGAGCTTGGGGCTGTTCACTGCTCTCCCATGTCTTCGCTTTCCAGGGCTCTGGGGATGTTGTGACCCTACCGCCGGGTGCTTTGGACCATCTACCCTGGCTCAAAGATGTCGGAAGGTATGCCAGGTGTGCTCCGCGATGGGGTCGGTGGTCACGGTGACAAGCACATCTGGGGCTACATGTTTCGTTTACAATGCATGGGTATACTGCCCTTGCAAGCGGCAGTGGAGGCTACAGCCACATCAGAAACTACAGAAGAAGCTACAGTACATAGTTACTGTATATAACTATAAGGCTCAGAGTATATAGATGGTATTTAACATTACGACCGTTCTTATTCCGTGTTGGCGGCTGTCCTTTCTGAATTCACCCATGCTGGTCCGCGACTTCCTTGTGTTCCTCGCATGGCATGAGCTGCCGCTGATGTCACACTTTTTTGATCTTAGGACGGCTTGAACATCTTCATCTACAACTTGCCAAACCGCTTTCATGCTGACGTCCACCAAAAGGTGGGCTCTTTTTGATCTACCAAAACTACTAGAAGGGGCGGATTCGATCACCTTCATTCGTTTTTTACTTGGCGTGGGAGGTGGAGCGGGCAGCATATGAGGCGGGCAGCAACTGTGATTGGATGAGATTCTCAGCTGCATTCGCCGGGTCAAAGGACCCGCTGACCCCTGACCTAGCGGCCCCACTAAAGCTTGGCCAGTAGGGACCGTTTGGCGTGTCGGCGTTAAACGCGTTGCAGGCTCTCCTCATGCTCCCCCGATGAGAGTGCTTCATTAAAGTAGCTTCGCTGGGGTTCTAAAAAAGGGTTCCTTTCCAATGCTTACTATTTTCGTAGTGCGCCCTGACTTCAGTGTCCCCAGATCCGCACTCAGGATCTGCATGTACTGAGACTGCCGCCGTGCAAGGATGGAGCATCAAGCGGCAGCTGGGAATGGAGGCCTTGGCTGGGACGCTGGAGAATTCAAATAAGAGTCCATTTACATAATAGAATTTTGATCATATGAATAAGTTCAAACAGTATCCTAGTCTAGTACGACACTTGGTCTCGGGAAGTGATGGGAGTCATTGCATGTCATATATTCCAAAACTATGTGATCTAGTAGCTTCTTGTTACTACTAGTAAGGCACCTGTTGCTACTAGCGATGCACTTGTTCCTAATAGCGTCCACTAGACTGGCGTTTTGCTGTGCGACCTTTGCCCTGAGGTGATTGTTCTGCGGAAGCTGTTGGCAAGTCCCCGTCATGTCCCTGCAGAGGAAGCTGATCTTTTTGTTGTCCCTGCTCTGATTGGCACCAACTGCGCTGCTGGCACCTACAACAGCAATTGCATCACGCCCGCGGACACGCGGACTGGAAGAACTACAAAGAACCGGAGGGTGGATCAATCTGCATTGGCATCTGTAAGGCCAACTCAGTTTGACACAATAAAATGGGATCCGTTCCTGCTCTATCAATATCATTTCACCCTTGGTTTGATTTCGTTGTTTGTCCTGTCATCTCTTCTGTTGCATCTTTCAATGTTCATGTGGCCCCTTCTTCGAAGCACAGGCAAATGCGTGCGTGTATCCAGCAGATATGGTGGACACATGTGTTTTTGAGGCAAGTGGGCCAATGGGCAACAAGATATTTTGTGAACACCCCGCGGTCCTGTGCTGAATCTGTCAAGAAGTAGCCGAGTCATGGATCTGGTTACCAGGAAGGGCAGACCCACCAGGCATAGTCTTGGAGGTCCCATTTCAAGGGAGAATGCTGTGATCACTTGTGATTTTTGCTCCATGGCCTGTCCCAGGACCACATTCAGCAAGAATTGCTGCTGCACTTGCCACACTACAATGCGGAGACCAGGCCACAGCTCTTGAACTGCCAAATGTCTGTATATAAGTGAGCGCCTTTGAGTTTGCACAGCACGCCTCGCATGCGTGAGGCATCGGCATGTCTTCTTAGCCTCGCTGGACAAGCGATCCTTGCCTATCGAGATCCAAGCGCAGCCGCTCTTAGTGTCAATGGGCGCATCCTATGGAGATCACCCTGGCCATTTCGTAGTACCTTGGAGGCTGTTTTGAGTCAGGACTCATATTTTCTGTGGTGCTGGGGGTCCGCATGTGTTTTTTTCGTCAAGAGGGTGGGATGAAGTGCGTGAAGGACTCATAGGC